TACAGTGCTTACTTTGGGGCTAGGCTAATTGGTGTGACGGTTGGAAATATTTATTATATTTTAGAAAGCTGTTTTGAATCGTCCAATATTTTTCCAATTCCAAAAATTTAATTTAGAAATTCCAATTCGACAAACCAAATATCTGCAAATTAATTCGGCTACCCATTCATTGATCATATCCCATGATCGGCATGTTAATCGCATTTTTTTCGCACCGCCCACTTGATCACAGTTTGCGTGGTACCACTTTTTTGCGCAGTTCGTATTCCATATCATTTCTAATTTGTTGCTTCTTATGCAGTCTAATATTATAATTTTACCTGTACATACATAGAGTTTTAGTTTGCTTTGATAACGCTTCCTGGTATTTTCAACTTTATGTCCAACGCCCAATATCTAAAATGGAGCGTGGCCCGATAAAAACATTAGAAAAGCAAAGGTCCATTCGATGCTTTAGGCAAAATGCCGGGACAATATGTTCGCGTGAAGGATCTTTCAATGCACACTTTTAATGCAAACTGATGAATATTTTAGAAAAACTACAATATACACATACATAAGACTCGAAACTCTCTTTCACATTCCATACTCCCCTACGATGTTTTCTTAGAAATAGTTATATAACACTTGAAAAACATTGTACTACACAAAATGAAAGCAGCTGTACAACAATTAGATATTATGAAAAAATAGGATTGTGACAAGTTAATTATGTTACTTAATATGCCCTAGAATTTAACCAGTACACATATACATTTTACTGATCGATCAAATCATTTTGAGAGGTTATGAGCCCAAGGGCTAAATAAGTTCTTCGCTCGTTGCAAAAGTGGAAGCGCGATAGTGCTCTACGTAACGTATTGCGCCATCTTTCTTCCACAATCTCTTCCACAATCGCATTGTTAGCTATCCTCTACACTTAGCACGAACCAATATCGAATTGGAACAATTGAATTCGATCCCGATACGCTCAAATGTCAAGAACTTTAGTATGAAATATTTTTTATTCTGGTTACGTCCGTTGTGGCGCTGATCAAATGTCCATTCAAAATTTCTTGACATTTAACGCGTACAACTATTCGAATTCAATATTGGTTCGTGCTAAGGGTACAGTACCCTAAGCACGAACCACTATCGACAGGGCCGGATTTAGGATTGTGGAGGCCCCGGGCCACTTAGGATTTGTATGCTTGTTAACCCATCGAAATTTTGTTATCTTTTATCCTGATGTGGAGGCCCCGGGCCACTTAGGATTTGCATGCTTGTTGACCCATCGAAATTTTGTTATTTCTTAAGCTGTTGTGGAGGCCCCTGGGACACAGCCCCACCTGCCCTGCCTTTAATTCGGCCCTGAGATTAATATAATCAAATAATCATGTATGTTAGATGTACAAAGTACTGTGGGCTGTAGGTAAAGGTAAAAGAGTAAAAAAATATATCAAAGGAAAAGATGTTTACTAGTTGGAATTTGAAAGTTTTTTTTTTTTCCGAAGTCTCTATTGTGGGGGCCCCCCGTTTGTGGAGGCCCCGGGGCTTTCGCCTCGGTTGCCCTCCCCTAAATCCGGCAGTGACTATCGAATTCGAATAGTTGAATTCGATCTCGATATACGTCCATTGTGGCGCTGCTGTCCAAGTTTCCATACCAAATTTGATGTCTATATTTCGCACTCCCAAACTTTTCGAATTCGATATTGGTTCGTGCTAAGGGTACTGAACTCCATTCGAAAGTTTAACTATCTAAACATACATAGACCTATATCTAATCTATATATATCCTGCAGTTCGAATGTCGATAGATAAATAAATAAATCATAAACAATAAGAACGGTGGAATATAGATTTTGATAAATTATATTTATTCTAAAATGTAATTAAAAATGAAAATACGTAGAACCATGTAGAAGTAGATACTTGTGGCAGTCCATACAAATTTTCAAAAATACACTCGGTTCCAAAAACTATGAAAATTAATTATCCTCAAATAGATTAATTTGACCGCTTTAAAATATGACATATCAACATAAGATATTTTTACATTGATTACAATATACAATTAATTATTAGAGCCTCAATAATTTCATTGATTATTAAGCATGGTATACACTGATAAAGATCTCTCTGGTTATAGTACCATTTACCAGTTAAATGTACATTTATGTAACAAAGTCTTTATGAAAGACAAGTGACTTATTAACATTGTGAAAATAAAAAAGTTTGAATATCTTTCAAATCGAGTTTTGATGATTTTTACAAGGTTTATTATTTATGAGAGACTGAGCGGAAAGCAACGCTAATGTTACTTTGATGAAAATAACAATGTTACATTATTGTACAAAATTATTATTATTATTATTGTTTTTATATATTCATTTATATATTTCTGTAATGAAAAGATTTGCTGGATTTTAACTAAAATTTTCAAAATTAAAATAAGTAATGTCTTTATCTTCCATTATTTTTACACATAAATATGCTCATAAATCGTGTAGACCGAGCTCAAAACTTCCAAAAACATAGCTTTTACATTAAATATTAAAATTTCTAAACGCACCCATTTACATAAATCCTTACATATAAAATTTCAGTTCTCATTTTTTTCTGGACATAATAATCTTGTAGTAGTGATTGTGAAGACTATTTACAAGTTTATTGTGACGAGTTAAAGTAGGTACACATAACATTTACTAGTGAAAAGAATTGAAACAAATTACGAAAAGAAAGAGGAATAGATTAAGAGGGAATGTTAATTATAAAAAGCCGAGTTTATTGTCTACGCCTATGCTGAAAATATTGACTGATCGATCAGCCTTTACCATTCCAACCTTTCCATTATCTGATTTATTACAAAACGTTGACTAAAGTTAAACATGATTTAAAACTGATGCTGTCACTTTTGTTTGCTAAACAGAAAGACAGAGACAGCATTAGGTTTAAACCGTGACTAACTTTAGTCCTCGTATTGGAATAAGGCGGTAACCCTCTTATTAATAAACAAGGAGGTTTGTTAATGTCACTCAAATGCCATTTTTCATTCAATATACAGAGACAAAACATGGAGTAACTAATCCAAGCGTAGTCTTCGTTTATTAATAAGGGGGTAAGACTGTATCACCAGACAGTAGTATATTGAAAACTAGTACTTTATTATTTCGTTTTCAAAATTGTGGATTTAATTTTAATTTCTTCGGTTGTCGTCAAGTCGTAGTGAACCCATATTGAGGGAGTTGTGAAGACAACAGTTAGACCGCCATTTCGAAGAAACGGCCATCTTGATTTTACAAAGATAGAAACTGAATATATTAAATTTTATCGTCATCAGAACTTACGGTGTGTACCAATTTTCAGATCAATGGGCCAAAAGTAAAAGTGGAAAAATTACAAGTACTAAATTTGACCCAAATAAATAAACAAACAGAGCAAGCTTAATAAAACCGTTTAAAAAGTGTAAACTAAAATGATATTTCATGGAGAAGGATAAAAACTATTTTCTCCGTTCAGCCCAAATATTTTCCAATGATATTTCATGGAGAAGGATAAAAACTATTTTACTCTGTTCAGCCCAAATATTTTCCGATAATTTCTCATTCTTGGTGAAAAGCGGACGAATATTGTAGCTCTGTAATTTATTTTGCAAATTATACCTAAATAGCGTGAATATTTATTTGGATAACTGAGCTCTGGTAGCATATACCTGGCTTGCAATAGATCATTAGTAACCGTAGGAAATGAGAAATATACTATGCTCTATTATGATATATCAAAATACGTTTTCGTATCACGTGTCTCTTGTATTGTCAATACGGAATACCTTAAAGCATATCGTTATTAAAAACAGTTATCATAATAGTACAGGAAAGTATTGATATCCAAAACAGTGCCAAAAGAATGGCTTTTTATAGCTCATACGTACAGTCATATACTTACAACACTTAGGTTATACATAAATATCGATAATCGAATATCTTAAATTAAACTAAGTTCAGGATCCAATCAGAAAATTTTACAATTCACATGGACTGTACACAGATAAAGTATAATAATCTTTGAATGATGTACTTTACACACTAAAGTAACATGAAACATATAATATAACATAAATCATTAGAAAAGTTTTACAATAAATAAATAAATATTGTAGTGTGCGACACATCGAAAGCCTCGATCTAAAACTCCTAGCTGAAATCCTAATTTCAATAAAGGTATATTGTTTAATATCTTAAATGAAAATTTTTAAATATATATATTCAACCTATATTGACTTATACAACGTTAATTTAAAATCAGTTACAAACAATATAAATTAAAAATCCAAATATTTAGCACTGATTATGACTCGATAGATTAAATTTATGATAATAGTAAACTATTTTTGCCTTAAAGTAAATTGATATAGTAACTCTATGAGGGCTGTAGATAACGTTAACTATTATTTATAATAACGTTTTCTTTGATAACGTTAGTTACCTAATATAACGTTATTTGCGAAGCTGCTCATGTTTTGAAATATACATTTTTTCCTTACGTTTATACCTAAAAAGAAAGCAAAATGTATGCTAAATTTCATACAATTTCCATAAAACGCTGATAAATAATAACCATACTCAAAGTTAAAAACGTTATTATTTAACAGTAACTATTTATATTGCAGGCTATCAAATTGTATTCATATAATAGTTAATAATTTAACCATTTATATGAATTAATTTAAAGTTATAATATGAACTTGATAACGTTACAAAGCCCTGCATAATATATTAACTAATATCGAATATTGTGTATTAATTCTAAAATATATCACTTTCAATCATCATTAGTGACACATGTGAGTATGAGATTATTAAACTTGCAATTGTTTACTTTGTTTTTATATAACTGTTATTTTTCTTATTAAATACCACCCGCTATCACTGTAGCAACATTTAATAAATCACAAATAGTAAAACTTCTAAAAGTTGTAGTAAAGGTACTTACTATGCAAGAAAACTTTTCATAACAGTTATAAAACAAACTCTCATGGCGTCCTTTTTTAACATTATCAAAGGAGTAAGAGCGAGAGAGATAGCAAATCGAAATGATGTCTCTATTTGACTTGCATCGTACTTAGAAAAAGTCGACAATATGTTCCAACAATACACACTTTTTTAAGAACATCTAAATGGAAACGTAGTAATGTTTATTTGAGACATTATTAAAGAAATCCGGTATTTATCCTGTATATATTTATTTACCGATACTTGAAACGTGTCGTTAGTATTATTCAATGTCTACAGTTAATCCTTATAAAAAATACCGGTAAAAATGTGTACACAAATATACCGGTACAAATGATTCTATAAAAAAATATGGGTACACACCGATATGCTTTCCTTGCGGTTTGAAATATTTGTGTGTGAAACCGAAAAACACTTTAGCTCACCATATTATCGTAGAATTTGTAAATTGTGGAAAGTTGTATTCTCAGCAGACCTTATTTGGCTTGAAATACTCCGAACTCCTGATTTACATTTTTCCAAACCCAGAAACAGCTACCGTCACAAATGCTAAGCTTCTCAGCAAAATTGGGCATGCTATAGAAAAAACACGTTTCTTCCTCACAGGGGGTTTAGAAGGATTTTCCGAAACGCCAATTGTGAAAAATATTGTGGACAATGCTCACATGTGCTCACCGCAGTGTACTTGAATGCAGTCGGACCGTCGCCATACGACGGAGACTTGTCGGCCCGTCTCGGTGCGCAGGAGTCGCGTTCATTGGAACCGCGCATACCTGCAATAAGGAGTTAGTCTTTAACGATTGTATTATAATACCCTACTATGTTTAAATGCTTATTATATAAATTATAATGCTCTGCTTTAACTGAAAGGCAGAAACCTCAATCTGCCAAGCCAACCTGTGCCAACAATAGGCTGTGTATATTACAAGATTTTTGTGTTTTCCTATGTGAAAGCACTTTGTCATTTCTGGATACACTCTAAGCACCCTGCATGGTCCTCTATCTACAGGACTGAACAAATTCGTTTGACATACACAGACTTCGTTTTACAGAGTTAACAGAGAGTAGACTAGCGTGAGCGGGTCGTCGACCAGTTCCTCACGAAATCATCTTAATCCACAACTAATTACGTGCACTGTCTCGGCCGCAACAACAGGAACACAGTCGCTTCAGAGTGGAGTTGATCGAAGGCAGCAGGGGCGGCGGGATCACCTTGTTATATTTCAGTCATAAACCCTGACTGCCGTTAAAACCTCGTCGGCCGGTTTCCCAAGAAATCATATTTGTAGACTATGTCCTAAACAAGTAACCTGCGCTGCCTCAGCCACTACAACTGGAACAGGTCGTCGTACGCCCTCTCCAGTCGCTTAATAGAGGAGTCGAAGCGGGGCGGCTCTGCGTCAGGGTGGCGGAATCATTTCATTGTAGATCAGCCAATAACGCTGACTGCTGTAAGCACGTTGTCGGTCAGCCAAATAGACATCGTCCACAATAGTTACCTGCGCTGCCTCGGTCGCTACAACTGGAACAGGTCGTCATGCGCCCTCTCCAGCCGCTTCAGGGAGGAGTCGACGCGGCGCAGGGGCGTCAGGGTGGCAGTCGGCGGCGGCAGGGCCGGCGGAATCATGTTTTTGTAGATGAGTTAAAAACGCTGACTGCTGTAAGCACGTTGTCGGTCAACTAAATAGACATCGTCCCCAACTAGTTACCTGCGCTGCCTCGGCCGCTACAACTGGAACAGGTCGTCGTGCGCCCTCTCCAGCCGCTTCAGGGAGGAGTCGACGCGGCGCCCCTGCGTCAGGGTGGCGGTCGGCGGCGGCAGGGGCGGCGGGATCACCTCGTTGTACGAGGTGGAAGCGCCCATCGACGCTGACTGCCGTAAACGCGCCGTCGGCCGGTGTCTAACGAAATCATCACCGAACTCTTTGACAAACCTGCAATAATTCCAAATATAGAAAAGTTAATTGTTGTGGTTCTCGTTTTTAACCAGTATTCTCTCACAGATATTGAAGTTTTTTAATGCTTTTCTTCTCTTTATATGTGGACTGCACACAGTTGTTTCTTTGACATAGTCCACAATAATGTACACGATAAACTCAAGTATATAAAGATTAACTTTGAAATCGTGTCAATGAAAATGTCTCTACGACCCGATAGAATTTTATTAACATTGACATACTGATAATAATGAACGATGATATCTCCATGTTCTTCAGGCCAAATTAGACAGAAACGTTATGTTATCTTTACCAAACACGCTAAATTAAAACAGTCCAGACGTCAACTGACCTTACCGAAAATTCGTAACACTTTTATGGGGAAATCGCCTGCGTTCGAGCAATTGCTTCTATAGATTTCTGAACTCTATTTTTTATCGTGTGTGATGAATGATAGCTTAACTTTAAGTTTTTGGCTGACCTGTTTAAGTCAGCAAGGACAAATTAATCTGCTTAGTCTTAGTCGAATGAATGTTTAAATTCTGTTGGAATGTAATCGATAGAGCCCTTAAACAACAAACCCAAAAAGAATCTATAGTTTAGACCACGAAAACAACGTCAGAGTATTGTAAGCCTTATTCTTTTACATGCAGTCTTTTTTTAGTTTAAAACACAATTTTATGTCGGCGACATTTATCATGTTTTGTCTTTGCATTAATAATTGAGTTGGTTTATGAGCTGGTTGGTGTTAGTTAAATGGTAGAGTGTCACGAACGTAGTTTAACTACAAGTTAATTTGTAGCCGTTCTGAATATTCTATTCCCAATAGTGATACAGGGCTGGACGGTTCAGATACCTAGATAGGCGACGTAGACACTAGCCTAAGTCGCCTATTTAGGAATATAAATGTATCTTTAGATAGTTTGTAAATAAATGTTCACATTAAAATAAGTCAATGAAATGTTAGGTAGGGTCTTTAGGGGTCACGATACGGTAGACAGTTCATGTCGGCTTTGGCAGATTTTCTCGCCTACAGAACCCTCTCTCTGTTCTATTATTCAAAGTGACCTCGCGTCCTTATGAACTCTTAGTGAGGGTTTCTATGTAATTAGGTAATCTGTTACTAAACAGATTACTTCATGGCATCGAAGAAATAATAATCTAATATATATGACGTGCTAAGGGCTTTTGTGACTGAGGGTGGCAAACAAACCCCTCAAGCAGATCGAATTAAAAAAGTTAAAAAACTAAAACAAAAATTCTAGAATTATTTTTATACATGTATATTATAGCTGCATTGAACCAGATATTGTTGATTGAAGTATTGCTGTCGAGCAACCCATGCGTTTTGTTTATATGTTTTTAATTTATTAGGTAAAGACAAGCCACACGTTACCGCGCAAACTTTAAATTTTTCTCATCAGAATTTAAATATAATAATATCTAGTAACATAAAGCTCAAAAACGGTTGAAGAAATTCGTCAGTTTACTCGAGTTAGCTGATGTTGCCGACCTATAAAAATGAAAAAAACAGTCATAATCATAACACATATAAACTTAGTTTGTTTATTTTCTGAACGTTATTTGCCAATGGAATACTATTTTTAGAGGCGAGAGATTAATCCTAGCGTAAGCCGAATGCAAACACTGTTCCAAACCGAATTATCAACTTTTTTGCATTTACATAAGGTAGATAATCTAACTTGCGTTGTTGTCCAGTTCCATTAATAGGAAGGAATTGTTGAAGTAGCTGAATTGTAAACTATAGTTACGACATAAACGTATCAAGACTTAAAATATTAGTTTTCCTGAACATTTGAGTCTATAAATAAAAAAATCAATATAAAATAGAATAGGAGTTCAACTTCAACTCTTTCGGCAATTCCCTTGAAAGCTAAAGCAAGTGTTAATGTGACATGAGCTACTATTTTTCGCATATATGCAACGAATTAGAAATGATATAAAATACGAACTGCGGTAAAAAGTGGTTCCACCCAAACTGCGATCAAATGGGCGGGGCGAATGAAAAAATGCGATCAAAACCCCGACATGTGATGGGTTGGGATTTCTGTTTAACATTAAATTACCCAATGAATGGATAGCCGAATAAATTTGCAGATATTTGGTTTGTTAAATTATTTTTTTTATCTGTGTACGTTTCGCGTTAGTATTGAGGTTTAGTTGTATGAGTTAGGAACCATGTGTTAGCGGCCTTTGTTAGAGAGAGATGCTTCCATCTATATCTATCTATACATATACAAATCAACTACTGTTCGTTAGTCTCGCTAAAACTCAAGAACGGCTGAACGGCTTTATCTAATCTTGGTCTTGAAATGTTCGTGAGATCTAGGGAAAGTTTAAAAGGTGAGAAAAATTCGAATTCTACGCTACAGCTCCACACCGAAGCAAAGCGAGGGCGGGCCACTAGTATCATATACAATTCATTGCAAATATGTAATTAAAAGGATCGGAGAAGGAGTAAAAACCGAATCCCCGATCGAAACATCTTTTGTGCATTGCACAGAAAATAAAAACTAGGAAAATAACTGACAGTCAAGTCAGATTTCGATGATTGAACAGTCCGACTGCAAAACCTAGAAAACTAAGATTTATGTCGAGATAACCTAAAATTGATGCATTTTTCTGTTTCCGATAACTTTGATATAAAAAAACGTAAGTAGGTATTTGGGTCATCAGTCCCAAAATCAGTTTTAGCACATACAATATAATAGTCGGCAAAAATATTGGTTAAAAATTTCAAATTGCTTTACCATGATGAGGTAAAGGCCCTCGAAAAACAAACCAAAATTTATTATATCGTCCCTTTATTGGTAAAACCAATTATCTACCAAAAACTAAACTTGTGGCAATGATGATTTAAAAGTTTGACAGAAAAAATATGTAACTAAATTTCATATATTTTAACTGCAATCATGTAATTTTAATGAAAAAATTAATAAAGTATGTTTGTAAATCATAAAAATAGTAGTAATTTATTGAAAATGCTTGAAAAAATGCCAAAACCTATCTTTAGGGAGGTCATTTAATTGGTTGTTCCTGAATAACGACATAAGTATATATATCATTAATTAAATCACTTGCAGCTTATCTTATAGCTTCACCGGAATTATTCCAAGAAAATAATAAGGTACCAAAAATAACTGTAAAAATAACACTCTGAAACATTCTACAAATTGAAATTTAAAAAAATATAATTGGTTTTGCTTGAGTAAAATAAAGAATTGTGGTAAACTATCTGCAAAATGTTCATAGTTATACAACGAACTAGTCAAAACCTGGTCATTGTTATTTTTATAATTATATAAATACCAAAAAATCATTACTTACATGAAAGTAACAACTGAATAAAGTAGTAAAATAATAAGAATGTTATATTAGGAAATAATCAACTTTATTAGAAATTTTTAATTTTTATCTAATTATTCAAAACAATCTGTTAAAAAATGAATTAATTTAGATTTTCTATCTAAGTACTCATACAAAACAATTTGATTGTCATATTGCATTAAACTAAGAACCTAAAAAAATATAATGTAATAACTAAAACTAAAAAACCTTAAAATATATAATAACTAAAGTACATTATTAAAAGGAGTCCCTTTAGGCAAGGTTCCAAAGATACTGGCAGCGTTCCCCCTTTGAATAGCTAGACTAATTCTTTGTCCGAGGTACCTGCCACCTCTTCGGTCTCCTGTGACGTCGACTAACGTTTTTGCTATTTCCTTAAAAAGCCCTCCAGCGCTAGGACCCCACGAACCAAGGGTCTCGACACCGAATGGGACAAAATCATATTCGGAGCCTAGACCCCTGTATTTGCAAGCCTTAGCTTTTTCAGCCGCTTCGCATTTATTAAATGAATTTGACATGTCATATTTATAGTATATTTTTATGTCTCATTTTATGTACTTTTTGCGTTTTTTTTCTCTCTTTATTGGATCACCAACAGTTACTACATCAATACATCTTATTTAATACAATTTTACATTCAGTGATATAATGTGTAACCACTTATAGGCGAACTCAACATGCATTACATTAAGCTTAAGCAGATAATGGTGTCGATTCTGGCGTGATTCTCTAAACTTAAAACTAAATTTAACATCATTCTCTCCTTTTCATTCTTTATAGAGAATGAGAGGGATATACTGTTGTCAAATTTAAGTTTAGGTTTAGAGAATCATGGTAGAATCGTGTGTATGGTGTGTGTTTCTTTAAATATGTTTCAAAATATTTTTATATATTTTTTATGAATTCGGAGGAATATGTAGGAGGATTGTTTCGCAATGAGATCACAGAGTCATGATGTATGTCGACAATGTCACTATATTTGTTTAGAGTATAGGATAATCTCGCAATGGGCGAGTTGAAACCAAGTACCGTTCTTCTTAAGGGTGGACAAAGTTGTGTAATTGGTTTGCGCGGTATTTAAGATGGTGCTCGGAATTTGAAGAGTGCTAGTAGCTGCGAAGAGTCAGTGGTGTTTTATACCAATTTAGATAGAAATATAATATCTAGTAATTCCCGGCTGTCTGTCAAGGACAACATTCCAAAAATCTTAGCCTTTCAGTGTAAGACCCAAGATCCTTAGCTTTGCCAATGCAAAATGCCAAAACTTGCACGAATATTTTTGTTTCCTTTCTATCCGTCCACATAGGGGAAAAAGTATGGATGATTCAAAAGTGTTGTACCTTGCATCCAATTTGAATAAAGATATTTTGACTTTTATGCGGAGGGGATGGGTGGCATATGTGGTTTAAAGACTACACTACATTATTCCAAGATAGATCTGATGAGACTGTAATATAGTATTATTTTTGTTTTTGGGTTTCGAAATTGTTTGGTACTTCTTATCAAGAATCCCAGTAGTTTAGATTCTCTTTTAATAATATTTATTTATGAGGCACAAATGTCAAATTGTGATCGTAAATAACACCTAAGTCCCTAATTATATCTTTATCTTGAACGAGTGTATCTTC